AATCGATGTACATCGTACAACGTAATATTACACAACCAGCGGAATGACCTCTGTGCAGCTGTTTGGATGTAATATTCAACAACTTTTTTTTCTGTGTACTTACTCAAAATCCACACGGAACTTGCCGTTGGCTCAGATTCTATTCTTTCAAAAATAGGGTAGTGAACTACTTCGGTCTAATCGCCCATTTTGGGCCTATCGAGCAGAAAACATCAAAAAAATCCATGATTTCAGAGTTAACAAGTCAATTATGGGTTTGGTACGATACTTTAGTCAATTAGCTGTCGAACGAAGTCAATGAGAATGCGTTATATGAAGCTTTGCACCCATAATTCACAAAAACAAAAGAAGCGCTCCGACCGAATCAATTTTTATCTTCATCCGAAAGGCCGAAGTGAATTCATTGGCGATTCAATGCGTTAGGCCGAATTTAGAATCCGTAGGCCGAGTTTGGCATCAAGAATCAGTGTTAGACTTTTGACAATATTTCAACGATTGGTTTCTCTTTATTAAATCTTACGGTACGTACAGAAAGGTAAATAAATTTGGAAGTCATCAGTAATAATAACATTTCGTTTGATGCTAAACTGTGCTAGATTAAGAAAGACTAAGTGCGCGTTATGCTTAATAGGCCGGAAAGGAGGTAGTTAACCCTACTAAGAATCTCCACTAATTGTAAGTACTGCTTGGAAGCCTCACCCAAGCTAAGAATTATTTCCAAATAAGGCAAACTCTTGTGGAATAATTCTGCCATTTCCATCTCGCTAAACTTCTCTATATATTACTTATGCGAAAAATTTCGCTGCCCGCTTCTGATACACACTGAACAGTCGATACAGCAGCGCCGTTGAGTTATCGAACACATCGTTGTAGATCCCTACTGCTTTCGCCCGGATCGCGAAATCGTCAGACTCGGACCAATGCCGCAACAATCGAATTGTGGTGGAGCAGATCACATCCATTCGTGTGCATCGTATATCGCCTTGAGCACCATCCGACTCACCCTTAGCAACAGCTCCGTGTGCTCTTCCGCCCAATGGCAATCTTCCAGCAAGCAAGCGCATTGCACTAATATGTGTCGTTTATTCTGAAAAAGTAAAATTTATTACACAGAATCCTTCTAAACAAAATCAACTCAGGCATAACATTTGATAACGGCACAAAAGCATTTGTAAACAAACTTTCTAAGGCCCTTTACACGCGAACCAAAGTACGCCCACGCAAACCAATACCACTTTCGGAAAAGTGATAGTTGCCCCTATCCGATGATGTTGGTTTGCGTGGGCGTACTTTGGTTCGCGTGTAAAGGGCATTAGAAAGTTTGTTTACAAATGCTTTTGAGCCGTTATCAAATGTTATGCCTAAACTAAACTTACCACCTTCCCACTGAACTTCACCGCCAAATTATGAATTCTAAGCACAAAGCGGCATCGAATTCCATCCACCGCCTCGCGACACACTCCAATCCTCAGTATTTCCAGCAGGTCCTCCTTCCTATCACCATCCTCCGACTCTCCGAAGACCGTCAAAAGTTCCATTACGGATGAGCGAATGCATACCGAGTATGCCCGTGTTCTGTCAATGTCTTCTCGGTCGCGGTTGACTCTGACTTTGGTTAGAAGCAGGGACTGAAGAAATCTGTAGCAAAAATGGCAACAAGCGCGATTCATTGACAGCTCAACATCGTTTACTTGTGAGCAAATGTAAACCCGATGTGTTCACCCCTAATCATTTTGGCCTATGATCTTTTATTATACAAAAGAAAAGCAGATAACAACTAAACGTCATAATGACATGCTGTTTGACAACAGGCTCTCCCTTTCAATTTTTGTTAGAGAAAAAGAGATAACATACGGTACCTCCTACTTTAAGCTAGTACATATGAGTAGATAGTGTTGCCGTGAGGTACACTCGAAAATTTCAAATGTAAGTGCGTCAAATCAAATTTCGAGCCGCTCCGTCTGTCACTTCGTTTGTGGTATAACCAACCGGTGGAAACTTACGATTTTAAATTGGCTCACTACTTGACTAGCCTATTGGTCCCAAGCAAATCGATTAACAAACCCCATTATAATCGAAATTCTAGTACTACACAATGTTTGTTTTGATTCGCTATGGAAGTTTTTTTTTTAACTGGTTCCTTTATTTGCCAGGCTCAGTCGTGTGTGACAGTTTGCGGAGCCAAAACTCAGTTCTGTTTGAATTTACATTTTAAACAGCAGTAGAATTCTAGGTTAGTATTGAGTACCATTTACTCGTGGCGAGCTCGAGGTTAATGGGTAACAATTTCGATTGGAAGGATCTAGGTAGTAAACTGGTTTCTGAAGCCTCCTTCAGATACTACTCTTGGACGGTTGACCAAATCCTGGGCAGGGGCAAGTAGCACAGAAACAGGAGGATATTAAGACTGGGACACAATGGCTGGAAGTTGTTTGGAAAGGAAGGGATGGTCCGTCAGACATACAAAGGAATTCGTAGATCGCCTGCATGTAGGGAAGATCACGGGTTCCCAATACATCTCTTACTTGAAAGGTTGGGTTGTCTACCTCGGGCCACTAGGGTATCCAACAGTCGTGCTCTGGAGGCGTCATTACCCGGGCAATACCAAACTGCGTGAACAATGTCATCATAACCGGTTCTACACCTACATATATTGCTGTCAACGAGGTTTATTATATACAGATGTGCGTCTAGCGAGTAGTGGTTGTGTTTGAACCACGCTCTCGATGAAACATTTGGAATAATGGAATGTAACCACCGCCCAAGAGAATTACTTGTCCAATCGTTTTGCCAACTTAAAAGAGAACTCTGACTACTAATGGGAAAATTCATCATGTGAAATTCTTCTACACACAAAAAATATTGAAATATAAATAGCATAAAACTTACGCTAAATCGCAACTCTCCGTACCGACGCAAAGGTCGGTATATAGGGAGAGAATGCAAACTTATAGCGAATTCGTTTATTATCGGGGTTAACACCAGTTCCAACCCAGTGCGAAACCGAACTTTTTGTCAGTGTGAACCTCAACCTGAGCTAGGTTTTAAAAAGAAACGAGCAAACTGACGTTTGTCAGAAAACAAGCAGACCCAATCTTGATACCCGATCCAGGTTGGAACTGAATAATAAACGAATTCGCTATTAGTATAAAAATGGTTTATGCGTGCAATAGTATAAAATCGAAATATGCTTACACACTAAAATTTAGATTCAAGTTCCAGCAAACTGAATTGCTGAACTGGTTCCAGCAAAATCACATTTCACCGACCATCCAGCATTCTGAAATGTTTTGCTGGATACTCGGTAAATTTTATTCGATCTGTCAAATGAAATGTCAGTTCTAGAAAATTCAATTTCACTTGTCGTATGTTTGATTACCAACTAAAATATTCGCAACTAATTTGCTTAATTCTAGCAAAATTTGCTCTTCGAAATGATGTTTAGTGTGTCACCAAGAATTAAGTGCAACATTTTTCAAGTATATTTATAAAAATCCATACTGAATTCCAGAAAAAATATCGTTTTTCCCCAATTTTTGCAGCACGAATAAAAATCGCAAGATGACAGGATCAGAGACACGTTTGTCTGCTTTGCTATAGAAATTAACCAAAAAATTGGTGTACCATGTACCAGTATACCATATATGATAAGCTTTGAATAAATAAAGATATTTAGAATGATTTTGTGACATCCAATGAATTCCGAACTAAAATTTTCCATTCCCTTCCACTGTAAATTAATTGCTGCTTCTATTTACTGAAGTATCAGCAAAATTTTGCTGGGTTTTCAGTGATGAGCTGTTACTTAATTGAAGGATCATTTTACTGGTTATCCAGCAAAAATATTTTGCTGGAAGGATTGCTGAACTTCCAGTTCGGTAAAATCCAGCAAAATATTGCTGGTTTACGGCAATACATATTGGGTGTGTGCAATGCATAGATACCGAGACTGTTTTCGCCTTGTTGTTAGACTGAATCAGTGTTGTCGAATAATGAGAGAGAACAGCCCTAATAAAAAATAACCATAAACGAACGACAACCACAGAGAACAGACATGGAGGCTCGAACAATATTTCTCTAAAAACTTGTGTAAAGATTCCTATTTGACTTAAGCGCCACTAACGGTGACTTCCCCACTTAAAAACCCTCTTTGACAACATGATGGCGCTGGCGTTGCACAAATTACACTAACCTCTCCCTGTGGGTGCAAACTTGTTATGGATAATTTTCCATGAAAACATCTCCGATCCATACCGAAATAATAACAAATAGTTTTCAAATACGTTTTCTTACACGATTCAAGCAAAAGTTTTCACGGGAAATTATTAGTTTTTCCTCATGGACCGATTTGCCCCAAAAAGCATCTGTTTTACTTGGAAAATTTGGAAACTATCCTCCTTCTAGTAGTTCTCACTCCGAAATGTAGGTTGCGAAAGCTTGGAAAAGTTTCACTGCAAGACGCCAATTTGACAGATATCAAAACCACAGAGAACATACATGGAGGCTCGAACAAAATTTCTCTAAAAACTTGTGTAAAGATTCCTATTCCACTTAAGCGCCACTAACGGCGACTTCCCCACTTAAAAACCCTCTTTGACAACATGATGGCGCTGGCGTTGCACAAATTACACTAGACACTAAGTGCTAGTAGCGCCAAGTGGCAATTTTCAACAGAAAATTTATCGATACTAGCGCCAAATTGGTCGAAAGTGGAAAATTTATAGAGAAAATCAGGAGATGCTAACACCACGTAACGGCGACGTTCCCACTTATTTTACACAAGTTTCTGACCGAACTTGAACGTCTGTTCTCTGTGTCAAAACGGCATTACCATTTTCACTTACTCGCCATCTGTGAGTCAATCGTCACTTTGATTCTTCAATAGAGTACACCTCGGTGCTCGGCCTCGACTGTATAAACATTGGTTTGACATTTCTCACACGTGCCAAATCGATCGAAATTTCTTCGTGCTTTGTTTTGGTTTGCTTACTCGCGTGGATTAAATTTGATCGGATACACCGAACCGGATATTTTTTTTTCACGATTTTACTAAATTCATATGCATTTTCGGAGTAACGAGTAAAGTTTAATGTCTACGATGGAAACCGCTAGCAAGAAACAGAAAATGTCAGATGAGGAGCGGCTCGAACTTGCCGCTAAGCTCGATAATGATTTGGACCAGTACATGAATTCTCTGGAGAAACGAAGATATACCGAAGGATGGCCTGAAGATCGCTGGGAAGAGGTTGGTGGCGCTCTTTGAAAATTTCAGCTATTGCTTGACAATTATAATCTAACTAGGAAATGGCAAAGCATCCATTCTTTACGCGCAAAGCTCCTGAACCCGGCGAGGAACTTAGCCCTCTGATGGAGGGTTTGCAGCAACTAAAATATGATCCCGAGGAGAACACTGCACAGGAGTTGGCCGAAGCCTATAAAGAAGATGGTAAGTTTTACATGCAGCATAAAAAGTTCCGTCTGGCCGTTCTTAGCTACACGGAAGCGCTCAGTTTCGGAGTTATTGATCCGGAGTATCAAGCTGTACTGTATAACAATCGAAGTGCCGCCAATTTTTTCCTGAAAAACTATCGCTCCTCTATGCTGGATGCTGAAAAGGCATTACAATTGAAGCCAGATTATGACAAGGCTCGATGGAGAGCGGCCCAGAGTGCCGGTTTGTTGGATAAATTTGATCCATGCGTTGAGTATTGTGATGTGATACTACGAAACGATCCCACTAACAAACAAGCAGTGGAGCTGAGGAAAAGTGTGCTTGCAAAGAAAACCACTAAGGCAAGGGACGCTCGTAAAACAACACAGGCGGAACGACGGAAGCAGGAACAACTGACAAGGACGCTTGATGCGTTAAAGAAACGTGAGGTTAAATTTGAAGAACCCGATGCTCTAACGAATGAAAAACGTTTGAAACCGATATTGGGTCCACTTAATGAATTTATGGTGAAGGCTGACAGCAATGGGGTGTTACATTGGCCAACGGTATTCTGCTATCCGCAGTTTTTGACCACTGATTTCCAGCAACAGCTGTCTGAAGAGTGCACGTAAGGATGACTAGGAACTTGGAAACGTCATGCATGTATGAAATTGAAATGTTTTTCCTTGCTTGTAGAATGGAAGATACATTGATCAATATGTTCGAGGAACAATTTGAACTTGACAGGGACGGAGAATACTTTCCACACAAATTGAACGTTTACTATGAAAACAGGTTGGCTGGTCGAGTTTGTAAGGTTGATGTCAAAAAGACCATAAAGGATATCATTCGTGAGAAGACGTAGGTTATTATGGTGTTAGGAAAACAAGTTTATAAATTAACAACGTAAATTTAATTACAGATTCTACATCTATAATGGGACGTTGGCGTTTTTCATAGTTCCTAAAGATTCGAAGCATGAAATGGATTTTTTGAATCAAACGCGGGTACCGCTACGATTACAGTGAGGTTAATTTTAATGCTGATTGTACGTAATATAATACATACCATAATCTGAAATCTGTTTGCACATACCTTTATCACAATTCAACATGTTCTGTTAATAAGTATCCATAAACAACGTAGACAATTTTCGAGCCACCCTTTTTTTTAAGATGTTTATTTCTTGAATTAGTGTGGTTTCCATTAGAAATACTCTGTATGAATTTTTAAGTGACACAAATGTGCCTTAGTTCATTTGAAATGTGTAATTATTATTTAAAGTTCCTAATTCTATCATGCCTGTTTTAAAGAATGACGACTTTGGTGTGATTGGTTTGTTGTAACTAATATCGAAGATAACATATCAAGAAGACTGGCAACTTTGCCTAAATCCAATTGACAGACACAGTAGCGCTGCGCTCGAGCGAAGGTGAAAGCAACGCATAGAAAAATGAAAAAATAAACAAAGCTTTCTTCTGAGGATAGACCCTTTGCTATCCAATTAAATAGAAGCATTTACCTTTGAGCGGCAGATAACGCGATTGTGCCTGTCGGATACTGGTTGTATGAGAAAATGGAAGAGTTACCAGACTTCTTGATATGTTGTCTTCGCTATTATTTAAAGCTACAACTAACCTACAACTATCAGATACACCTAAACTACTACATACAAATTGCTTATAAAATCATATTCAGATGTGTCGAAGGGACGATCAAGAACCATCCTCAGCACTCTATTCTGAGCGACCTGAATTTTGTTTCTATGAGCAATCTACCGATAATCTTCTCAACAGTACTGTGATGTGGACAAAATTACTACGCTCCCCTTAAAATTCAACATGGTAATATTAAAGACATTCGTGATTAATATGATTACTTCATACACCCGCCATTTTATCATAATAGAGATGAACTAGCCTAAGGCTAAAAATCTCTTAAATAAAGTCTTAAAAAAAAACATTTTATCATAATATCGTCTGAATATGGTAAAATCAACAGAAATGCTGTTAAATTGAAAAACAAAACGATTACTATCTCACGTCAAATTATGGTAAATCCGGCTTTGTCGTTTCATGTTACATGGCCCCCATTTTGTAGAAAATAATTCTACGAGTACATATCAGCCATCAGACGAAGAAGCTGCTCTTTTGTTGCAAATAATGGCAGACGAAAAAATTGAAGTTATTTGTGACGGAACTGTGATGTGGAGCTCATGAATGGTAAGAATACATACAAACAGAAAGTAATTTAAATTCAATGAAAGCTTTTTTCTTATTCTTTCATTATCAAGCAGACAGCAGTAACAATTAACGATCACTGAATGCAGTGTGAAGTGTCGGGTTTTCATCAGATGGTGCGTATTATGTTAGATATAAAACTACATTATATGATATATGCATCTTATTTGATTGACCCTCAGTCGAATGACCTCGAGGCTGCATAGTGGTGCCAACGGTATCAAAACACGCGCTTTTTTATTTACGCTGAAATGGTTGATTAAAGGTACTAGGTGTCTTCTGAGAAGTTTCTCGGGTTACAGCTCTCCTTCTTATGGTAAAATAAAATTAAAGAATTATCCACCTAAAAGCGAGATGCAATTTTTTTTTTTAATATGATGAGATACAAAACAATTTTGTTCGGCAACCCTAATAAACAAATACCATAAACGAACTGTATCCCGGATTGGTAAACTATCCCACAAATGGTTTGGATGATACTCCGAACACGTCGCTAAGCTCTCTTTTATGGTTATTTGTATTGGGAAAAGCTGCAGAAAACATTACTGTTAACAACTTTGCTGAAGACTATAACTTTCTAGTTCTTATAACTGCTGAGATATAAAGGTTTTTTGTAGAGACATCGTTAAAATCAATTTTGTATCTGTAGCTTTCTACAATATTTTTACATGTTTGGCATGTTCTACAAAGATGTTAAAAATATTACAAATTACACATCTTTTCAGAAGACTGCAAATTGCTATCATTAAAATTTGAAAAGTTATTTACATTTTGACGTAGGACTACGTCTTTGATTTCTATATGGGGGTACACTTTGTGAAAACCGAAAATGGAACATGTAACAAATTAAGAAAGATTTTGAACGTTAATAACTCAGCTGCCCCTGGTCCAATTTCAAATTTTTTATCACCAATCGATCAGAAATATGGCTACGCATCGATGACAATGCTTTCGAATGTTGATTTTTACTAGAAACTATTGAAAAACTGGTAAATGTCCAGCATTGTCCAAAAGCGTTGAATTAACTAACAAATGCACCAATTACCTACATGCATATGCTGCTTCCCCAGCACAGTCGTCAGAGAGTAGTAAGTAGACGAAACAAATCGAAGTGGCATTCGCCTCCGATCCTCGGGCACGTGCGAATAGGGAGGATGGAATTGCGTAATATTTTGCACACTCATCGCCATATTCAGAACCAAACGCAAATTCTTCGAGATAATCACCATCCGTCGTCTGGCTCGCCGTGGCGGTGTCTGACGTATTTCCGGTCTGATTTACGAGGTGTGCTGAAGGTGTTCCTGAAAAATGCGATCCGTGATGCTGTTGTCACCTACACTAAACACGCCAAGCGTAAGCGGCCATGGATGTCATCTACGTTTTGAAGTGACACTCTGTTTGGTTTCGGAGGTTAAATCATCACCAACTTTGGCAACAAAACGGCTCTTTTCAGGGCCACCAAGCTTATTACAGTTTGCCTGTTTGTCCATATTCAGAACCAACGATCACACAAAATGCTCATGTAATCAAACTGGAAGCAGGGGTACAAATTATTTTGATCATCCTTGATCAACTTTGATTCGCCACGGCCGGATATTTTCGCCAGGGAGACAGCTCCCACACCTGGACCCTACCAATCGACCCATCAACTCAACCGGGGACCAACGGCTTTACTTCCCGAATGAAGGCGTGATCAGATATGTTATGCCGTAGAACATGCCGGTGGCGCCGATTGAGATTGGACCCAGGCCTGCTGGGGTGAGAGAATTAATCTCGCTAACCACCGGCGCCGATATCTTTCAAGGTGATATCACGGCGAATGAGATCGACCCAAATTTGAGTTTAGTTATCTCAGAAATAAGAAATAAAGTGCAGGAACTCAGCGATGAGTAAATTTGCCTCATGTTTTCCCAGGTTTTTCCAGGATTTTCCAGGGAAAAATTTCCGAATTTGAGAAAAGTAAAGATTGGATTCACTCAGTCTATTTGTTGAGACAAATTTACTCATCGCTGAGTTCCTGCACTTTTGGCGATTCTGAGTGAACTAAACTCAAATTTGGGTAGTTCTCATTCGCCGTGTACGCAAAAGGAAAAGAGCCAGTGTCGCTACTTGATAGCAAACTACTCATAATGGGAGGAGTCTTTGTAGCTTTTATACCACTTGGTTGCACATAATTCTGCTTTAACCTGAAAAGATATAAAAGAGCGCTGCTGTATGGCATTAGCTCATTTTCGCTTCGGACGGCGTGGTGAACAGCAATAGCAGCAGTAAGAAAGGTGGTGGCTAGTCCACTCCTTCACACCTATCAAGCAACAATTGACTGGTCGTGGCAAAGGAGGAAAAGGTCTGGTAAAGGAGGCGCCAAGCGTCATCGCAAAGTTCTTCGAGATAACCGCCATCGGTCGTCTGGCTCGCCGTGTGGTGTCAAACGCATCTCCGGTCTGATCTACGAGGTGTGCTGAAGGTGTTCCTGGAAAATGAGGTCCGTGATGCTGTCACCTACACTAAACACGCCAAGCGTAAGTGGCCATGGATGTCCTCTTCAATAAAACGGCCCTTTTCAGGGCCATCAAGCATACATCAGTAAAGAGTTGGAATAGATTTTATATCTGCTTGTTTGTCCATATTCAGAACCCGAAGCCCCCAACGACCACACAAAATGCTCTCCAGAGTTGTAATCTTGTAATCAAACTTGAAAGCAAGGGTGCAAGTGATTTTGATTAATTCTCTTAATCAACTTTCTCTTTGAAAAAAATTACTACAAATTTGGTACGCCTAAAATTAAAAAACGGAAAGAGTTGAGATAATAGATAATTGATCAATTAAAAGAACTAAATGCTCTTCACATTTATTCCGTCCACTAGCGGTCCTACGTCAAGCTTCCGTTCGTGTCCCTAGGCACAGACCCTTCTACTTTTTTTGGTTGAAAGTTACCCAACTTCCAATACCAATAACTTCTAAACGGGCAAAAACGAGCAGGCCATTCTTTGAGCAATTTAAAGTACAAGAAAATGCAATGAAATGGTGAAGAAACCAGACCGCCCCCACGTGACCCTTAACCGAAATACTTGCATTGAAACTTGTTACTTTTCAGAATTTGAAATGGCGATTTTGTGAAACCACGAGACTGTTATCACAGAGAACAGACATGGAGGCTCGAACAAAATTTCTCTAAAAACTTGTGTAAAGATTCCTATTCGACTTAAGCGCCACTAACGGCGACTTCCCAACTTAAAAACCCTCTTTGACAACATGATGGCGCTGGCGTTGCACAAATTACACTAGGCACTAAGTGCTAGTAGCGCCAAGTAGCAATTTTCAACAGAAAATTTATCGATACTAGCGCCAAATTGGTCGAAAGTGGAAAATTTATAGAGAAAATCAGGAGATGCTAACACCACGTAACGGCGACGTTCCCACTTATTTTACACAAGTTTCTGACCGAACTTGAACGTCTGTTCTCTGTGCTGTTATCGAGTAGGTGTGAAAAAAAGACATACAAATGGATAACCAAGCAACCTGGGTTATTTCTAGTGACTAACAAAATGACTCGGGATCAAAATCAGACCACCCCCAAACGACCCTTGACTGAATCGCTTATGTACTTTAAATATTTTTCACTTTTGTCAATAAACAATACCAAAATCATTCATGTTAAATGTTTATTACGTTCCGATTCAAATTGTACGAATCTCAAAGAGCGATTGCAGTTTCATTTTCGTCGATATCACTGTTCTTACTGTTGTCATCTGTTATGGTCAAAAGTTGGAGAGCATCCCCGGAGCACACCTCAGTTTTGTTTTTCGGTAGTTCCCTCATGTTGGAAATTAACG